TCTGGCAGTGATTAAAAGGACCCAGGGCTCTGGCTGCCACTGAAGCAGGAGCCCCAGGTAGGGTTGCCAGATGGATTCAACAAAAATACCAGATGCACTTGACATGACATCACAATAGACATTCCATCTTATTTAGAAAAGACCTGACATTTCTATTTTCTCAATTTGTTTCCTGAACAGAAAGCTCAAATACTGGACTGTCCGGTTCAAAACCGGACACCTGGCAACCCTAGCCCCAGGGCAAGTGTGCCCTCTTCCTTTTACTCCCTCCCTCACTGGCAGGCCTGGTCGCACATCAGAATGGTGGCAGACCTAAAGAGTCTTTACTATCAACCCCTTGTTCAGGCATTAAAATGCTACTCCCTGGAAGAATTATTTGCAGATTGTGGTAATGCCCCAGATGCAGGAAGAAACACACTCTGCCTCCAGGAGCTTACAACTGAAAAAGGCAAAAACCCAGGTCCTGCATGTCAGAGAGGGATGCTGTGAATTATTGTTGGCTGTAGCAAATTTCATAATTTAAGGCAAGATGCTCTGTCTGTTCAAACCTCCCTCCCCATGGTCTGCAGCTAGTGAGAGTGGCCCAAAATTTCAAAAACTCCCAGGGGACAAAATGCAGCTTCAATGGACAAAAAGGGTTTTCTTGGTTCCTGGGGCTGCATGAGGCCTTTTCAGAAGGAGCCTACTGCTTGGGCCCAAAAGTGGAACTGAATGCATGGATAAAACCATCTAAAGGTGTTCTAGGGTGGGGCAGGCTTGTGGATTTTCAAGATTGTCTAAAGTTGCCTCCCCTCCCCCAGTGATGTGCTTCTGTGAGAGTTGTAAGGCGGCACAGTGGGACATCCATCTGCCCATCATCTGTACTCCCCTCAGCCTCTCCTCCGGATCTCCCTGTTCCCCTACACGTGCTCCACCGTCCATAGCTGCCAAGTTGTGTGCAGCTCCCTGCCTGATGCTTCTCAGTCACTGACTGTCCCTCATGCCCAGCAGCTGGTGCAGATCTCCCCTGAACAATGGCAGAGCGTGAGGCAGAATCCTATTTCCACACCACCATCTCTCCCTTTCCCAGCCTGCAGCAAATTTGTGCCCTGCTTCAGCTGCTTTGGGAAGAATTCTTCCTTAGTGGGGAAGAGCCAGCCTGGAATGGCCCTGCCCTCCCCAAGGTACGAGTGGGCTTTTTCACCTCCTTCCCCACCCTTCTGGTAGAATAGAGTGGGGCCTCCAGCCTGCTGCCCTCCTCTCTATCTGCCCCCACCCCCTCACATGGGCACTTCTAAGGGCAGAAGGCTCTAGACTTGGCTGGGGGAGGGGAGGAGAGGAGAAAAGGTGGTGTGGGGAAGGAAGTGCATGACGCTCCCTTTAAAGGTAAAGGGAGGGTGCAGTAAAGTAAAAGCGGGGGGAGAAAGGAGAGAGCGCGCTGCAGGAAATTGGAAGGGAGTGTGCTGCAAAAACTGGGAGGCCCTCCCCCCAGGCATTCACTTCTCTGCCCCTCAATCAAATGAGTTCAGGCCACCCCCATCTCTGATAACTGCTCTCTCTTCAGCCTGGCCACAGGATGCTTGTTTTAATTCTGCCCATTCTTGAGGGTTACTCCTTTCCCTCTTTGGCACAGGTGGGCCTGAGTGAGTCATGGCCCAGCTGCTTTGCATCCATGCCCATCCCTTACCAGCCTGCCCAGCTGGGGGGCTAGGGCAGGGTGCTGGGGCTTACCCTGCTCCACCTGGTGCTGTAGCTGGGAAGTGGGATTGGGGGGCAGGACTTAAACCCTGCCTCCCCCATCACTGCCCACCCTCCCAGGTGGGCCCTGCTGGCTATGCCACTGTTCTGCTCTCAGCTGTTTATGCAGGGGGGGGTTTTCAACTCAAGCATTTTGGGGCTAAATGATGATGCAGTTGGGAGCTGCAGGTGCTTGTTGGCAGAAGTGCCTGCTTATTGTTCCAGTTATAAGGAATCTCTCTTGCCAAATAGGGCCACAGAGACCTGAGCTTGGAATCCCCTGCAGCAACTTTTCCTGTGCGTATCCATGGTGCCAGCCCAGGGGGCAGGAAGACCATGTCTCCTCCACTTGCTGGTGGCATTGCAGGAAAGCAGAACCAAATGTAACAGAGTAATGGGCATAGGGCTCATAGGGGAATGGGCAGTGAGGCCAGAGTGAGATAAACCAATGACAGATCCATTTTATTTCCAGATCAGGTGCTCACCGATGGAACTGGTTGGCATTTGTGTTGTAAGTAAAATCTGATCTCCTGGCCCTTGAGTTTCTTCCACTGATGCTCTGGAGCAAATTAACTGCAGCCATAGATGGACACATCACCACTGAACTCAGGAGAGTTGTGTCAGTTTATACCAGGGCTGAATTTGGCCCTGGCTGTAATCACACATTGAACAATGTAAATGCAGGCTCTCCTGGTTATAGACTGACAATGGCTTAACCATCTCGGATGGAAACAATCTTAGCAAGTGGTATACAGTAGCTGCAGAATTCTGTTTTCTTCCTCTGCTGAAGAAACTGATGCCGCCTCCTTCTAGTCAACCAATTTACCCATATCTGCCATTTCCTTAGACCTTTCTCCCTCTTGGACTATCTATCTCTTTCTGTAACCCATGTTTTAGGGATGGGATCTCCAAGAGAGGGGTGGGGGGTAGGGTAGTACTTGACCAGATGTTTTCTCCTGCGTGGAGAGAACAGCCATAGTCTTGACTCTTACTCTGTTCTTGCCTCTACCTGGTTTGCCTGGAGTCAGGTATCACAATACAGGGAAAAATTTTCAAAAGCATCTCACTGAAGGTCAATGGGGCATCAGTTCCTAAGGCATCAGGGCCCTTTTGAAAATTTTACTTAGGGTCAGTCAGTCTTTCGCCCCTGCGGCAGAC